CCCACGGGCTCAGGCAATCCACTCACCTCGGCCTCCCAAAGGTGCGGGATTACAGGCTGAGCCACCGAGCCCGGCTTGACTCTGGAATCTTAATGTTCAGGCTGCCCACCTGCACCCTACACTCTCCAATCATCTTCTCTCATTCCCTAGGGGATCAGCTGGTCACATACCTGGAGGCTTACCAAGCCTCCTCTTTGAAGCTTATGCCTCCTTCCCTACCTTAAGTTCCCCTGCTCAAGGCACACCTTAGATCCCACAGACTGGGCCAGAGAGGAGGGCATGGCTGGGGAGGTAAAGGGACAGAGATGAGCATCCATGAAAGAACTGGATGATGACAGGGGAATTCGAAAGGAGAGAAAGAAGTATCCAAGAGACAGTGAATATAGCTGGGGAAATTCTAAGGGAATGGAGCAATTAGAGTTTGTAACAGGCAGGGTGTGCTCCAGCCTAATGGGCTCTGACCTTCTTCCTGTTCACCTTTGCCTTTGTCCAGGGAGAGTCCTGGCCCATGCTGACATCCCAGAGCTGGGCAGCGTGCACTTTGACGAAGATGAACTCTGGACGGAGGGCACCTACCAGGGCGTGAACCTGCGCATCATTGCAGCCCACGAACTGGGCCATGCCTTGGGGCTTGGGCACTCCCGGTATATTCAGGCCCTCATGGCCCCTGTCTACGCTGGTTACCGGCCCCACTTCAAGCTGCACCCAGATGATGTGGCCGGGATCCAGGCTCTCTATGGTTAGTTCCTCTCCTTCATGAGCCCGAGGGTCGGTCTGATCAGCATCTCTTTAGGCTTGAAGAGACAGGTCTAGCCTCCATGGAGGGAAACAGCTTGGATTCTTTCTTCTTTTCTGGCCCAGTTATTCAGCCTTCTTCATCTTCAGGAATAGTTTGTCTCTGACTCTTCCGTGTCTGATCTTTCTTGGGGATGGAGAATGCATTCTAGCAAGCCCCCCTTTCGTGGTGCCTCTCAAACCTAAAATGTATCTTCCATAATTGGGAACTTCTGTTCTGCAGAAATGGCGAAACTCCAACTTCATCTCCCCATCTTCGGTCTCTTTTTTTTTTTTCCTTTTTTTTTCTTTTTTGAGTCAGAGTCTCATTCTCTCGCCCAGACCGTAGTGCAGTGGCATGCTCCCAGTCACCACAGCCTCGACCTGCTGGGCTCAGGCGATCCTTCCGCCTCAGCCTTCCAAGTAGCTGGAACTACAGGCATGCACCACCACGGCTGGCTAATTTTTTACGAATATGTATTGCCTACCATGAAGGGACACTCTCGAAGATTCCCTTTTCTTCACTCTATGGGGCCTCTGAGCAGTGCTTACAGGAGACTGGAGGGGAGACCAGGTACTATGAGCTGTTTTCCTAAGTGACATAACTTCACCTTGCAGGCAAGAAGAGTCCAGAGAAAGAGGATGAGGAAGAAGAGACGGAGCTGCCCACTGTACCCCCAGTGCCCACGAAACCCAGTCCCATGCCAGACCCCTGCAGTGGTGAACTAGATGCCATGATGCTGGGTGAGGCCCTTCCCCTCCAGGCTGTTGGCAGGCAGTGGGGGCACCTCGCTGACCCTGAGGCCCGGACATGTGGGAATGACATGGGACTTCAGCATGAGCAATGGAGGTTAGACTGCAGGCAAGGATTGGTGACCATGGAAGGAGACACGGGACGTGGAGAGGGAAGGTTCAGAGCCAAATTAAAGGTGGACTAGGCAGGCACTTACCAGGGTTGCCACCCTCTAAGGGCCACTAAACACATCTGGAGGTCAGGAGTGGTGACTCACTCCTGTAATCCCAGTGCTTTGAGAGGCTGAGGTGGGAGTTTGAGACCAGCATGGGCAATATAGTGAGACCTTTTCTCTATAAAAAAAATAAGCTAGACATAGTGGATTGCATTGGTAGTCCCAGCTACTTGGAAGGCTGAGGCAGAAGGATCTGGCCTAAGCCCAGGAGGTCGAGGCTGCTGTGAGCTGCGATCGAGCTACTGCACTCTAGCCTGGGTGACAGAGTGAGATCTCAACTCAAAAAAAGGAAAACAAACAAACAAAACCTTAAAAACCACATCTGGAAATGCAGGAAGATAGAAAAATCTATATTAACGGGAACACCTAATAGAGAGAGTGCTGCTCCTGGTTGAAGCCACTTGGAGTGGAGGGTGAGGTTCCCAAGGAGGGACTCTATCTGCTATCCACAGGGCTTTTGTTTTGCTGAGTGGACCAAAGCTGAATTGGATTCAGAGGGTTCTGGATCCTCCTTCTCTGTCTTAATTTTCTCCTTGAATTAAAGTTGAATGACCAGCCTGGGCAACTTGGTGAGACCCCATCTCTACAATAAATACAAAAATCAGGCTGGATGCAGTGGCTCAGCCTGTAATCCCCGCACTTTGGGAGGCCGAGGTGAGAGGATTGTCTGAGCCTTGGGGTTCGAGACCAGCCTGGGCAACTTGGTGAGACCTCATCTCTACAATTAAAAAAAAAA